GGGGGGGGGGACAGACAACGGTTCTCGTGAGTGTTACGTGTGTCACGAGAGTGACACACGTAACACACGTGACACACAAAGTAGGACTTTATTAACGAGGCTGGAATGTGAATAAAAGGACGAAGCAAACTGTGAGCATTAAAGCACCTTTCCTATGCTAAAGGAGCTAACAAAGGAAGCATTAAAGCACCTTTCCTATGCTAAATGAGCTAACAAAGGAAGCATTAAAGCACCTTTCCTATGCTAAAGGAGCTAACAAAGGAAGCATTAAAGCACCTTTCCTATGCTAAAGGAGCTAACAAAGGAAGCATTAAAGCACCTTTCCTATGCTAAAGGAGCTAACAAAGGAAGCATTAAAGCACCTTTCCTATGCTAAAGGAGCTGACAAAGGAAGCATTAAAGCACCTTTCCTATGCTAAAGGAGCTAACAAAGGAAGCAGCATGAGATGAAAGGAGTTATGAGGATTCAGGAACATTCCTGCAGCGATGAGAGGAAAAGTCATCAGTGTTTTGGGTGAATAACTTCGGTGGATGAGCAAAATATGCTGTTCTCCCAAATTCTAACCCCCCAGTTTGGGTGCTACTTGTTCCAGGACAACGTTTGCAGCCCTGCAACAGAACGAAGATGAAGCTCCCCTGTGACTCTGAACTGAACAACATCCATCGGGGGGACGAGACAGACAGAGACGCTCACAGTCCTGATCCAACAATACTATGTGTACCATTGAATCCAGTTCACTGGGGCTGTGTCTCAGCAGCGTCCTGAGACGAGAGGAAACGATCCCGGAAGCAGAGAAGAGAAGCAGGAGGACTCAGTCTGAGGCAGAGAGACAGAGACACAGACAGAGACACAGACAGAGACAGAGACACGGAGACACAGACAGAGACAGAGACACGGAGACATGCGGTGAGAGAGACAAAGAATCACAGAGTCAGAGGGAGAGACAGAGAGTGAGAGAGACCGAAGACTCCAACATGTTATCCGTGGTATTCAGGAGGAGGTACTGTGTTTCTACCGCTTCACTGTGTATTTGTACTGTGTTTCTACCACTTCACTGTGTATTTGTACTGTGTTTCTACCGCTTCACTGTGTATTTGTACTGTGTTTCTACCGCTTCACTGTGTATTTGTACTGTGTTTCTACCGCCTCACTGTGTATTTGTACTGTGTTTCTACCGCTTCACTGTGTATTTGTACTGTGTTTCTACCGCCTCACTGTGTATTTGTACTGTGTTTCTACTGCTTCACTGTGTGTTTGTACTGTGTTTATACCGCTTCACTGTGTATTTGTACTGTGTTTATACTGCTTCACTGTGTATTTGTACTGTGTTCCTACTGCTTCACTGTGTACTTTAGTGGTCTGAAGGTCCAAACAGGAGGAGCAGGAGATCAGCTGGTCCTGTGGTGATGGAGGTGAAGCTCCACCCTCATACGTCATTTGTTGCCGTGTACCAATATGTTGAGATTACCAACTGACGTTTGGATATCGATAAACATGATAATAATAATAATAATAATAATAATAATAATAATAATAATACTTCATATCGAGAGACAAGTGTGTCCAAAGAACACAGGACCGTGATGATCTCAATTAGCTCGATCACTGCAGTAGCTGCGTGTTAGCATACATTTAAATACGTCACAGTACAACCGTCCACTACACTTTAAATACTAAATTACTACACCAAAATACTTTAAGTGACCGGTGGACCAGAATAAACGCAAACCCGGCTAGCTAACTGCTAATACGGCTAGCTCAGGCGGGCCGCTCGCGTCGTTGTTAGCCGGCTAAGCTAAGGATGCTAACGCGGCTAGCTACCTGCTGCTCGACGCTGGTGCGCAGACCCCCGGAGACCCCGGTGCCGATCCACTCTCCGGTACTGATCCACGTGGCTCACGGTCCCGTCGCAGTCATTTTAAACGCGGTCCGGACGGTGAGACGCGTCGTCCCGGTGCGAAGCGGCTCCGGCTGGATCAGCTGACCAGGAAATGAACCCAAACATCTGGAAGAGAGGAGGCGCTGCAGATGTTTACCAGGCGTTGTGACGTACAAGCATTCTTCATTTATTTATGTCACAAATATACAAATTACTTGTTGCAGGAAATCATGTCCTTAAAAGTATTACTCTGTAATGTTTGTGTTGAGTTTGGTACTAGATGTTGTTATTATGCTTCAGTCATCAATGCGTCATTCCTCCTTTAAAAACAAACCAATTGGTTATTCAAAGACAACTGTGCCCGTCAGTTTTTGTTAAAACAGAGATGTTGTAATAAAGACAATAATAATAATAATAATAATAATAATAATAATAATAATAATAATAATAATAATGAGGTAGTAACCAGAACTCGGGGGAACCTCCGCCGCGCCGCCAGGCGGCAGCACTGCGCGTCCGGCGGGCGTCTCCTCCTGTCTGCAGGAAGAGGGAAGCGTCTTCAGAACGGAGTGCGCGCTTGGCCGGTGGGTCCCGCGCCTCGTCCCTCGTGTGTCGGCGCGTTCCCCGGATCTTTGTGGTCCCATCTGGGCTCGTGTGAGCGCCATGCAGGCAGCGGGAGGCGCCGGGCCTCGGCCTCTGTTCGGCGGGGCGCTGTCGGCCGTCCTCCCCCCCGCGGCCCGAGACGCCAGCGAGCTGAGGGAGATCCCGGACAACCAGGAGGTGTTCGCCCACCGGCACGGCGACCAGAGCCTGATCGTGGAGCTGCTGGAGTACCAGGGCCAGGTCGCGGACCGGGACGCCGCCCGGTACCACTTCGAGGACATCGCGGGTGGTAACGAAGCTCTGGAGCGCGGCTCTTTCGAGGTGACCGGCGTTGTGCAGGTGTCCGGGTCCGAGGTGTCCCTGGCGGACTGCAGCTCCGCGTGGACGCTCACCGGCACGCAGCGCGTGTCCAAGTTCAGCGAGGAGGCGAGGAACACGGTGAGGCTCCACCTGGGTCTGTTCCGCCTGCCCCGCTTCTCCACCGACGTCCTGGTGACCTTCAACGACCCGCAGAGCATCAGCCCGGACAGCAGCAGCGCCGCGGCGGGGAGCCACCGGGAGCCGTGGACCGAGCAGGACTTCCGGGTCCTGCTGCAGACTCTGAGCCTGCACGACCCGGCGCTGTTTGGGTAGAACGAGACCCTTTAGGCTCCAGCTCATTTGAAAAGCACCGTAGGCTTCAGAACCCGGATTCCTTTGGGTCTCAACTTGAAGGTTCTGTCTCTCCATGTTGACCTTCTGACCTGTCGGAACTAATCCACGAACAAAGAGCTGAAGGTGTCGTAATAAAAGTGTCTGATTGAACCCGTTTGTGTGTGGATCACCTGACTGTTCACTTAAATGTGCTGTGAATGCACAATAACATTATTTAGTCATCCTGTTCCCTTCCTCCTACTCCCTCAATCATTTCCTGCTTCCTAACCCTCACCTGAAGGTTTGTATCCAGGAATAAAACTCTCCATTAAATATCCCCCTGCTCTCCACCGTGTTTTATTTTTACAGAACCGCAGTGAATAATCGGAGCGGTGAATATTAGTAACAGTGAATGGACGGGGTCCAGCTTCCATCCAGGACCTGGTCCAACCCGACATCCCGACCTCTGACCTCTCCGCTCTGCATGTGATAAACTGCTTGTTCCTCCTCACTGAGAGCAAAACACTCAACTAGATCTCCACTCTCTGCTGTCCTGCTCCTAAATGGTGGAAGGAGGTCTCTGAAGACATCAGGACCACAGAGAGCCTTCACATCTTCAGACTAAAGACACTGAATAATTCACAACTGTCTGGACCGACTTCGGGACGCTGGATTTGGTTCTTTTCATGGGTTGGAAATGGACCCTCGTTAACTTTGAAGCCACCAGCTACTTTCATTACAAACAAGTGGATGAATTATTTGCTAAGCTAATAGTTGGAAACATTAATAAAACATGCCGCCGACCTCTTTAGTCCCAGCGGGAGGAATGAGGTTACCATGGCGACGTCTTTGACCTCTAGGGACCTGAAGTCTGCATGATGAGCTATTTGTATTATCTATGATTTATGCGCTAATCAAAGTCTCACCTTTGTGAGTCTCTGGAAGCCAAAACTCAGGAGCTCGTCTCCGACGTGGAACCACAGAAATACGGAACCAGTCGTGTAACAAGTCATCAGTTATCACATGTGCTTTAATCCCCAAAGTGACTTCACACGGCGGTTTCCTGGCATCCATAACAGCACAAATCCTCCTCATGCACATATTTCTATTCAGGGTTTCTTACATTGGGTGTAATTCATCTTTGATAACACAAAATGACAAACACAAATCGGTTTATTGAAAAATAAACATCAGCAGCTCAATAACCAGAGGTTCATCATCCTCTGCGTTGTCACCTTGAGGTTTGATTCATTACAAGCTGAAAGGACTACTCGTCCTGCTGCTTCGTCCTCTCGTCCCGAGGGGAGCGGCCCTCGCTCAGGCAGAAGTGCTCCGACATGGCGGCGAGCGCCCGGTACCGGTGCGAGATGGTGTTCTTCACCTCTTTGGGCAGTTCAGCGTAGCTGCAGAGGAGAAGGAGGTCGTTCAAGTCAGTAGTTAGAAGGTTTGGAGAGATCATCACAATGATGTCATCTGCTGTGTGAGCTGATCAGTGTATTGACCTCTGGCTCCTCCCGGTGGTCAGAACATGTCATCAAGTCTAAGCTTACGTTTTGTCATATCCCTCCGGCTGGAAACACGGATCCCATCCAAAGTCCCGTGGTCCTCGGGGTTCCACAATGCGTCCCTTTGAACAGAGCAGAGAGAACGGATCACCATACAAGACGAAACGTGCATACGAGCACTTTGAGACCAGTGAGAGGGACTGACCTCCGTTTTCCCCCTGAACAGCTGCACCGGTTCATCTCTCCCAGCGCAGAACGCAAACGTGCACAGAGCCCACGCAGACTTATCCTCAAAGCCGGCCAGCAGTTTGTACAAGCCTGAAACAGAACATCTAACGTGAGGATTTACTCTCAACGTCTCTGCGGAAACTTCTCAGCTGGGTTTCTACAATTACCTTCCGGCTGGAGTTTATCCAGGAACCATTTTCTACAGAAACAAGAGTATTCATGAGTATTCATCCGCACTGACAGAGAGCCGCGGGTGGATGTTGTCATACTAACATGTAAGGACCAGGCAGGCCGCCCAGAGCCCTGAAGCACAGACAGGTGTCTTCCACCACCACCGGCCCGTCCACCTGGGGGCGGGACCACACGACACATCCGCTTAGATCCCCCACGTGCACACACACAGCATGCACGTGCACGGCGGTGCTTATCGTACCTGCCGTGCAGCCTCCTTACACTTCTGAATGGAGATCTCATCTGGCTCCCCCTGGTACTCCGGCACTGAGCAACGCGTACGATTGTTGGTCAAATCTTTCCAATATCGTTTAGTTCATTTCACATTATTCTATTTGTGAGTCCTTTAAGATTCAAAGATTTCGCCCTGTGTAATGAAATTCTTGTGCTTGCCTTTCCAGAAAGACGACCAGTTTTAAAATAAAAATACAATATTTACATTTATGAATGACGGTGGTGATGATGATGATGATGATGATGAGAGGAACATGCTTGACCTGCTGATGTTCTCGTGCTCATACTTACAGTCAATCTTCCGGGACACTAGTTTGAGGGGGAACTTGTCTCCCAGGATCTGAACGACCTGGCGGATGAGACGAGAGAAAAGACGAGAGAGATTTTGTATGTAAATACAACGCGCACATCCGGTCTGACGGAACCGCGGATCTCATTTGCACCTCTTCGAGCTTCTTCGCGTTTCCAGTCACGAAGACCACAGACCTGCAGGCCGGCGCCGCCATGCTGGATGACACCCGGAGGACTAAGGGCGCCGGACCGAGCGCTTCCGGCTCAGCATCGGCCAATGAAAACCGCTCCCAGAGAGCTAGCGAATCACCGTGCGGCCCCGCCCCCAGGGGCACCCGCCAATCAGCGCGCGGTGCTGCCGGCTAAAGGGTCCGAGCCGAGAAGCGAGCGCCATGCGGGGGATTCTGTGAGCCGGCTGCGGGACGGAACCGGACGGGTTCGGACTGCTTGAAGCCGCGTGCCGCCCAACATGAGTCTGTTACCTCGGACCGCGGAGGAGTTCAGCTCCGCGGAGTACTGGGAGAGGTTCTTCAAGAAGCGCGGGGAGAAGGCCTTCGAGTGGTACGGAGACTACCACGCGCTGTGCGGCGTGCTGCACAAGTACATCAAGGTCCAGGACAAGGTGGGGGGGGGCAGGCCTTCACACACCTCCACCGCGCCTAGTGATAGGAACACACACACGCACACACACACGCCTCGTTACCCCTGTGTCACGTGACCGGTGGAGGAGCAGGTATTCAGAAGAGGACATTATGCAAAAAAAGAAAACAATCATGTGATTGATTTCTTATAACATGTCACTGCTCTAGATGTTCGTGGTGAAGCCACATCACCTTTGTTACTGATTAAATGTGTTTTGCATAACGTGTTTTAATCTGAAATAACTCTTTCTGACAATTCCAAGTCCATTGTTTGCAGTTAAATGTCACGGAGCAGAAGGAAGGCCTTCGATGTAACGGCGGGCGTGTTCCCCTCCTCCAGGTGCTGGTGGTCGGCTGTGGAAGCTCTGAGCTGAGCGAGCAGATGTACGACGTGGGCTACAAACATCTCACTAACATCGACATCAGCGAGACGGTGGTGACCCACATGAACCAGAGGAACGCAGAGCGCCGGCCGGGCCTCACCTTCCAGCAGGTGGACGCCACTCGGACGCCGTACGAGGAGGCCAGCTACCAGGCGGCTCTGGACAAGGGCACGCTGGATGCCATGGCGTCGGAGGAAGAGGGCGCTCTGGCCCGGGCAATGCTCGCCGAGGTGAGCGACGGCTGTGCACGCACCCAACGCTTCTTTCTGTAGGCGGAGCTTCACGGCCGGTCTGTGCTTTGCGCAGGTGGTCCGCGTGCTGCGGGTCGGCGGGCGCTACGTCTGCGTGACGCTGGCCCAGGAGAGCGTGATCCGGCTGGCCGTGGAGCTCTTCGTGCAGCGCGGCTGGGCCGTGAGGCTCCACTGCCTGCAGGACAGCGGGAAAGAGGAGGACTCCTTCGCCCTGCCCGTCTTCGTCCTGGTCTGCACCAAGTTCCGCCAGCCGATGGCCACGCCCCTTCTGGAGATGTGTCTCGGGGAAGACGGGGCGCCGACGCGCCTGGCGCAGGTGGCTGAGCTGCTGTCGGCCGTGCGCGAGCATCAGGCCTACGGCGTGCTCAGGAAGAAGCTCCGCACGGGCACGGACGCCGGCTCCTCCCCCTCGCTCACCCTCTGCCACGCCCACACCGGCCTCCCCAGATACACGCTCACGGTGCAGGATTGTCCCCCCGGGGCCAAGGTGCCTCGATCAAACCACTTTGCTATTTTCATCGGTGAGTTCTGCGTTCTGTCACTTAAAAAAAACACCGATATTCGAAAATCGAACAGGACAAATTAATACGAGACAGAACACCTTGTATACTTGTAACTTTATTGTTTTTAACAACTCTTTGAATATAGAATATTGGTTGAGTTCTGGCGTCACGTTTGTTGTCTCCTCCCCTTTGCTCCTCCCCCAGTGCCTCAGGGCAGCGACACGGCGTGGCTCTACAGCGCCGCCGAGGGTCGGCGGCAGCTGGCTGCCAGCGCCAACTTCCGCCGCCTCGTTGTCGCGGCGATGCACCGGAACCAGGAGTACGCGGACATGCAGGCGGTGCAGGCGGAGCTCTCGCCGATGGTGATGGACCTGGCTCCACCGGGCATGCCGGACAACCAGCAGGTACACACACACGCACACGCACACACCTTGTGGAAGTGTTGGGCGTGTCCCTTTGAAGCTCCGCCCCTCTTCAGGTGCCCTTCCTGTCGGTCGGGGGCGACCTGGGCTGGCGGGAGGAGGTCAGCCGGGGAGTGAGCGAGCTCAGCGGCGAGTTCTGCGTGGAGAACGTCCGAGGAGAGGACGGGGCGCTCTACCGGAGACTCGTCTTCCTCTCCAACGCTGCTCTCGTCCAATCAGAGAGCCGCCTGGTCCCCTCCAATAGCGGTCAGTTCTTTCCTCCTGGTCCACTATTGTATGTTGCTTCATGTAGGTGGTCCTTAAAATGGAACAAAAGACACTAAGAAGCCACCAAAAGACCAATAGAGTTCAAAATAAATCTACTGTTTTATTTCATTGTTGCCTTATTTAAGGTCTGTGTGTATATTTTAGTCATTCGGTTCAATTTAAAGACTTTATCGTTCCATAATCTCACGTTCTCAAATGGCTGAATGCTCTTGTTTTTGTTGTCTCCTGCCCTTGTTTCTTATTTAACCTGAGATGCGACCAGACAAACATCGATGGCTTTAAATAATTCCATAAATCTGTTTCCTGCAGCATCGAGTCACAAGAAGAAAAACAAGAGGAAGGTGAAGCCGGCAGCTGCTCCCTCGGCCTCCTCCACCTGCCTGTCTGTGGACAGCGGCTTCCTCTGCTGCGCCCACCACGAGGTCATGGTGGCGGGCCTCGCCATGCTGGGGGTGGGCACGCCGGAGGCCAAAGGTCAGCTGCGACCCCGTCGTCTATGTGCTTGATGGGCCGGTAGGAAACGCTGACTGGTGGTGCATGAATCCTCCGCCCCGTCTGCCCCCTCAGGCGTCCCGCTGTCGGTGCTGCTGGTGGGGCTGGGTGGAGGAGGCCTGCCTCAGTTCCTGCGGGACTTTGTGCCCGAGGTCACCGTGGAGGTCGTGGAGCTGGACCCCGTCGTCCTGCAGGTGGCGAAGGACTGGTTCGGGTTCAGACCTGACGAGCGTCTGACTGTGACTCTCGGAGACGGCCTGAAGCGCATCTGTGCCCTGAGGAGGAAGGTGAGTGCGGGAGGGGGGTGAGGGGAGAGGGGGGGGGGGGGGTACGTTAACCAGGAAGTGACCGGTTGCTCCTCTTCCCGTAGGTGCTCATTTGTTCGACGTGGTCATGTTCGATGTCGACAACAAAGACAGTTCTGTGGGGATGAGCTGTCCTCCTGCTGCCTTCGTAGAAGCCTCCATCCTGCAGAAGGTCTCCAGACTGCTGAGCTCTAGAGGTGCGTTTGTCCCACATGTGTATCAGCTGCACTATTCATGAAAAACACGTCCATGAAGTGAAGATTGCTAAACATGGGTCTGTACGGTCATGGAAAACCTGGAAAAGTCATGGAAATTAGTTATATTTCTATTTTCATGTCATTCATTTAAGATGCATTTGAAATAATTGATATGGTTCAAAATTAGTGCTGCAACTAAGGATTATTTTGATTTGAAGGATTTGTTTTAACGTCAGAACTTGTTCTCTATACTCTCAAACACCCCCCCGTTTAAATTATTAAAATGTGTATGAACTCTGCCTAAATGTTTAATGTCTATACATTATCTACAGTACTTTGATATAAAAATACACTTTTGTATAGAACTAGCACATCTAAATTGTTCATAAGTATGTGTTTGTCTACGTCTCCTCCACATGTGATGTCCGGTGACCAGGTGTGTTCATACTCAACCTCGTGTGCCGTGACTCTGCTCTGAGGACCAGCGTGCGCGAGCGTCTGAGTGCCACGTTCCCCACCGTCCTCTCCCGAAAGGTCGAGGGTGAGGTCAACGAGGTCCTGCTGTGTTCCCACGGAGCGAGCGACAAGTCGGACGCCGCTCGCTTCCTGCAGTCGCTGAGCCAGGCAGCCGCGGGCCTGCAGGACGCGCTGGTCTCTGGCGTCCGGTCAGGGACCGGCAGCCGCCCTCACATCGACATCGCAGAGCTGCTGAAGGACCTGAAAGTGGAGCAAAGTTAGTTCACAACCAGAGGAGCTGCAAGAGAAGAGACGTGGACATATGAGCGTTTTGATATAAAATCTAATAGAAGTATGTTACCTTATACAAACTCACGTAAAGGACATTTGATCTCAATGTGCTGTCAGATATTTTAATTTGTATTATATGACCAACCATTAAAAGAGCCTTTTGGGTTTCTCTTTCACTTGCTTCCTGCAGCAGAGAATGCAGCAGCGTTATTTACAGTGGATGAAGCGCGCTGGTTAATCTGTGCAGACGGGCTTCGCCGCGCATGCGCACAGCGCGCCGGTCCGTTGGCCGTCGGGAGGCTTTTCTTTCTTCTTCGTCGCAAACTTCTTTAATGTCCTCACGTTGTAGCGGAAGCGGCTCCGTGTCGACGTTCGGGGGTTTAAAACGGCAATAATGTGGTTAGCGAAGTGTTTTCGGAGGCTCGTGGAGGTCTGCGAGGACAAACCGGGACCGCGCTCTCGTCACAGGACGCACCGACGGTAGCGAAGAAACCATAAAAAAAAAAAACGAAAAAAGTTTGCCTCTTTCTTCAAAGAGTTTACTTTTAGATTCATTAGCTGCAGACAGTCCGGGTGGGGCAACAATGGCGGACTGTCTGTAAGGACCGGAGGACCCGAGGAGAAGGAGCCCCGTTGCGATGGGCAACCGCGGGATGGAGGACCTGATCCCGCTGGTCAACCGCCTGCAGCGCGCGCTGAGCGGCGCGCGGCTGCGCTGCAGACTCGCGCCGCTCATCGCTGTGGTGGGCGGACAAAGCGCGGGAAAGAGCCTCCGTACTGGAGACTTCGTGGGCAGGTAAGTGAGACACGGAGACAGTTACTGTACAACAAGGGGCCTGGGGGACCGGTATGTGAGACACGGAGACAGTTACTGTACAACAAGGGGCTGGGGGACAGGTATGTGGGACATAGTTACCTGTACAACAAGGGGCTGGGGCCTGGGGGACAGGTATGTGAGACACGGAGACAGTTACTGTACAACAAGGGCCTGGGGGACAGGTATGTGGGACATAGTTACCTGTACAACAAGGGGCTGGGGCCTGGGGGACAGGTATGTGGGACATAGTTACCTGTACAAGGGGCTGGGGCCAGGGGGACAGGTATGTGAGACACACAGATCTGTTCAGATAGTTTGAGTCCTTTTGAAGTCTTTCTCTAGCTGTCAAGTCTCTCGGCTGCATCCTTTAGGACGCTTACGTCACCACTTTAGACCCGTCTGTCCCAAACCGTCGTCCTCCGATCGCGGTGGAGGGAGGTATAAAGGTATAAATGTTATAATACAACATCACGTCTGAGTTTATGGAATCAAGGATTATCTCATTTCTCCTCTGGACGATACATTTCAGGCTGAGAGAAGAACTTATTTTAAATTCAAATTAAATCACTTTTAGCTAAAAGTAATAATTCAATCTCAAGCAGAAGAGATTCCTTCATTTAAAAAGCAAACACATTTATTAACTAGTGTACCAGGACTTCTTTTCTACTGCATAAGATACGAGCTATTTTAACTCTCGTGAAGATATTAGAGAATATGTCCACGCTACAGAAGCGTGATGCTGCTTCCTCCATAAAACAACGAAATGTAAACTTAGTTTATAAGCACACAACAAAACAAAAGTCACTTTCTTTGTGAATTTATTCTGTAACTCAGAAAGTGACTTTTCAGGTTCATAGGTTTGATCCATCTGTTGATAATAAGAAGTATAAACTGTATAAAGCGTCTGAGCCTCAGTAAGACGTCAGTCAGCCTCTGAAGTGTGAAAGTCATTAAAGTGACTTTTCACTAATAAGTAGAGGCGAGCTGCTCGTTGTGTTATAAATGTGTGTCGGTACCTAAGAGCAGCACATGGACCCGGGGGGCTCAGGGCCGTATGGGGGGGCAGCAGGACGGAGTTCACGTCCTCACTGAGAGCCGTTTGTTCTAGCGTCTTATGTGCATCTTCCAACGTGACGTAACTTACATGATTCCATAAACTCAGACGTGATGTTGTATTATAACATTTATACCTGCAGACATCCGAGTGAATTCTATTACTTAACCTTTCATTTAAAGTGAACTCTGTCGATCACCCGCCGCCGCCCTGAAGAAATTAAATCCTCGTCGGCCCGCACTGCATGCTGGGATATGCTGGGCCGCAAAGGACGGATCAGATGCGTCCTCCAAACCGGGTCCTGGAGGACGACGGTTTGGGACAGACGGGTCGCAGCGGAAGTGACATAAGCGTCCTGAAGGATGCAGCCTAGAGACGTTGAGACACAATCAGTGTGTGTCTGTGTGCGTCTCTATTGGAACAAAATGTATGTGTGTGTGTGTTGAGGAGGACACTCCAGTCTTTCCATTCTGTCGCTGAAGGAAGGCGATGTGTTGTGTTTGAGCTCGTTTCCTGTCCATTGTCCTCGGCGCGGCTCCATGTGATTAATGTGTTGTGATGCTCTAAACACACCTCAGGGCAGCGGCGCCTTCTGGGAAACGGACTTCCTGAACTGACTAATAGCAAAGAGCAGGATGCTCCCTGTGTAGTATTTATAAACCTCTTCTGATAGTATTCGGATGCTTTGAATAGTAAATAGCAAGTAAAATAGAAACTCCTGCATGGGGCAGATTCTGGCCTCATTTATTTATAAATACAGGAAAGAAGTAAATAATAAAAATGCACAATGTGAATGCAAATGAAATAGAATAGTAGATAAAATGAACTAAACTAACAGTAGTTCACTAATATTCAGTGTGTTAGTGTCCACGAGGCCAGCTACACATAGCTTTAGTGCATTAGTCTCTGCACATACAATACGTAAAGGTGTATATATTATATTGGTGTGTGTGTGTGTGCACACGTGTGCACGGCGATTCCCCTGATTCAGTTCCTCCTTCCCAACAGAGACTTCCTTCCACGCGGTTCAGGAGTAGTGACCCGCAGACCTTTGATCCTCCAGCTGCTCAACGCGGACGAAGGTACGTGAGGGTTGCTGTGGTTCTGACATCCGGCCACCAGGGGGCGCGTCTTACAAACGCCCCGCCTTGCTTTGGGACAGAGGTGGAAGTTTTTGTCTTTGTTTTCAGGTTGTTAACGTTATCCAAACCCAATCAAAATGAGTTCATATAAGATGACATGTGCATCCTGTTCTTTATGAGCTGTTATGCTCTTGTTCCAGAGTACGGGGAATTCTCCCACTGCGATGGGAAAAAATTCACAGACTTCGACGAGGTCCGCGATGAGATCGAGGCCGAGACCCGAAGGCTCACGGGATCCAACAAAGGCATCTCTGGTGTTCCCATCAGCCTCCGCATTCACTCCCCACACGGTAACACAACTTCTGAACCGGCAAAAGGCCTTTTATTGTTCTGCATAACCATTAGAAGAGCAAACCAGTTCCAACCGCTGGAGCTCGCATGTAGCCACGCCTCCGTGGTAAGAACAGCCAATGGGAGGAGATCTCATCACCGCATATTGTCATGAGATGAGCAGTATAAGTGGAACATATAAAGAGCCATATAGAAGCATTACAAAAGAGTTTATGTGTTCATAAAGACCGCGGGGCTATTGCACGAAACCAGGATAAGGGATTAAGCCGGGATGTTATTCTGGATGAATTTAGCTTTGACTTGGTTGAATTAAACGCGGCCAAGTAACCATGGTGACCTATTCTCTGCAGCCAGCCGGCTCGCGCTCTCTGTCCGCCGGTGGGCGACACCGCGCAGTGAGTGAGCAATTGTAAAGGTGATGAGGGTGATATATATATATATTATATATATATAGTTATATAGTATATAAAATATATATTTATATATATTTATATAGTGTGTGTAGTCCCATTTACGTGTGTTTCTTCCTGCACCGTGATGCCCATTTCTGAGCCACGTGTTGGATGAAGAGGCTCTGATATTGAGACGTGAGAGGCTGTTTACATCCACAGTGCGAAGCCGTCTCAGCCTCCCACAGATGGTCTGTAGCACTGCGCTTGTTTTTATAAGCTGAACCTGTAAATAAAGGCACTATAGTGTGTGTTTGGCACTGAAGTCCGTGGCGCACATATTTATTACCTTTGCTGGCCCCAGAAGAATGTGTTACATCAAAGAGGATTTCCACAACATCGCAGGTAACATGAATTATAGACTACAAAGAGGTTTAGAATATGTGAGCAGGCATCTTTAAGTCATTTCTACAGAACATTTGCAAACTTACCAGCCTGCAAAATGTTTTGACCTGTTGCCAGGATCATTTTGTTCTGTATGAGCATTCATTGTAGAACGATATTTAGAATTAGACACAGCTTATAGAGATTTGTGCATATGGTTGATAGAAGAGATGGTTGATAGAAGAGATGGTTGATAGAAGAGATGGTTGATAGAAGAGATGGTTGATAGAAGAGATGGTTGATAGAAGAGATGGTTGATAGAAGAGATGGTTGATAGAAGAGATGGTTGATAGAAGAGATGCTTGATAGAAGAGATGGTTGATAGAAGAGATGGTTGATAGAAGAGATATTCTCGCGTTGGGAATATGGTTTGAAATTAGTCTTTAGGGGGATTTTCTAGAGGAACATTTATTATTTATTCCCTCTGCTCACTTTAAAGGCAAAGAAGGCGGAATAATAATATATTTTATTTATATCGTGCTTTCCATGGGAGGCCACTCAAAGACACTTAACATAACAAGCATACGCATAAAACAGGCAATTAAAACAGCCTACAACTTTCCTAGTAAGTAGATCATTTTAGATTCTATTTCTGCGTTCAGTGGGTCTGCGATTGTCTGCCAGGCTTCTTTTCTCTTTAATTACAGCTGCCGTATTCCTTCGTTTGCTTATTAGATGCTTCACCTCATACGTTTCCAATGAATCCGTGGAGTAGAGGAAGTGTCCAGGAGTTTAGACTGGAGTTCTCCTGCCGTAGATGAAACCAACACGTTAACTACGCATGTGCTGGTGTCCTTGTGCGTGCGCGCAGTGCTGAACCTGACTCTGGTGGACCTGCCAGGCATCACCAAGGTGCCGATAGGCGACCAGCCGGCGGACATCGAGAACCAGATCAGAGACATGATCATGCAGTTCATCTGCCAGGAGAACTGTCTCATTCTGGCTGTGACGCCGGCCAACGCCGACCTGGCCAACTCCGACGCCCTCAAACTGGCCCAAGACGTTGACCCGCAGGGTGAGCTGTGTGTGTGTGAGTGTGTGTGTGTGTGTGTGTGTGTGTGTGTGTGTGTGTGAAGAAGGCGCCACACAACAATGCCTCCTTGGGATTAACAATCTCTTTTTCTCCATCTTCCTCTCAGGCCAGCGCACAATCGGTGTGATCACCAAGCTGGACCTGATGGATAAAGGAACAGACGCCCGCAACATCCTGGAGAACAGGTTGCTTCCCCTACGCAGAGGTGTGTGTGTGTCTGTGTGTCTGTGTGTGTGTGTGTGTGTGTGTGTCTGTGTGTGTCACACACTGTTGTTACCATTGTGTTGATCAGTAGTTCCTTTTCTCTTCTTCTTTGTGTGACTCATCTGGTGCACTTTAGTAGGACATCCCATTGGTACTATCAAGAGTGTGTGTGTGTGTGTGTGTGTGTGTGTGTGTTCTATGTATACAAGATTACACAAGTCATTTCTATCTATGCAGTGACTCACTGAGTAAACCACCTGGCGCTGTGGCTCCTTCATGCTTCTCCCACAGAGCTAAAGCATTAGCTATGGAGATATGACTCTGCTGTGGAACTAACAGACTCCCAGTGGAAGGAATGCCGTCCGGGACGCGTTCCCAAGGACGCGTCCCGGATGATGCAAGTTGAGCCTGTGTCTCGTCAGCGCCGAGATGCTTCCTTCTCACAACCACCACATGTTCTCACTGCAGTTCAGGGCCTCGGATGGCGGATGGATGCAGGTCAGGGCTGCGTCCTGCCTCCGCTCCCCTGGCTTCTCTAAACGCCGTCATGGTCCCGGTGAATCAGGTTTCTGTCCAGGACGGGTGGATGTGTCTCAGGCAACAATCATAAGTTCCCGTTGAGCCATACGGTCCCATTATCTAGACCCTCTTAAAACGCATCGCTACAGTGAATCCAACCGGACCGCTTTCACAGGCCTTCTCTCCTGGCGTCAGGAAGTGGGAGGAGCTACTGGCGGGCTGTATTTGATGGCATTATTGGTAAATATGCTGATGATGTATTCAGCATATGGACCCCCCCCCCCCCTCCTTGGCTGAAGTGTCCGTCTGGGAATTCTGTCATGTACGGAGATGTGAAGGAAGCCACGAGGTTCAAGCCCCCCCCCCCGACCAGGATGTGTGAATTTGGAGTCACACATGGCTAGCTGCCGTCGCGGCGAAAAACATCATACTGCCTACCTGGCCCCCAGCTGAACTCTGTGACACTAAGAGCCGGATACAGAGACACGGAGTCGGACTCAGAGAGACCGATAGTCCGAAGAGTCTGGAGACAAGGAGTCACAAATCGGTCTTTTGTGGGACAGAGTCTAACACTCTACACCTCGCGAGGAGAACGCCCTATGTTGTCTTTGCGGAGAGACAGAGACCCACTCCTAGGAGATACCTGTCGGCCTCGCCAGAGCCTACAGAGA